CTTCATTCATAAACCAGAAGATGTATATTAAAAATAGTACTTGTAAAGTAAAGAAATTAAGTTCTGTGTTGTCACTCTTTGTGTGCAGGCCGTAAAAATTTGGTTTGTTGGTTGGTTTTGGTTTGTCCTCCTTTTTGAGAAGGAAGCTGTCGAAGTCGCACAGTACGAATATACCTCACTTGAGAGTAAACAAAAAAAAGTTAGTCACAGTTGGTTCTTTATTAGTGTTTCTGTTGTCAAAGAATATACATCTTATTTTATTCCAGGGTTACTTCCATTTCTTCTTTGTTTAACACTGATTATTTTTCTTTTCTTTTAGAAATGGGTTGTTGGTAAATTCGGCAGAGTCTTGCCTATCCTGCACCTTCGGAGTCAACAGAAAAATAAAATATCCTTTTCCTATTGTCTGGGCATAGGCACAATTCCCTTCTTTCTTTTGTCAGATGGGGAAACATTTGCTTACTGGTCTTAATATTGACTACTACGTCATACTTCATTTCCTGAATCCCCTGAGTAAATCTTGTGGTGCGTTTGTGTGATTTGAATAATTTTTTTAGACTGCAAGTCAGTTGCCTGGAGACTTATGGTGAGAACATCAGAAAGGGCTCTTTGTTGTCCTTTCACGCAGAATTTAGCCTGTTCACAAAGACTGGAAGTCTGCTTGCTGGAAGGAGCATGTTGTTTTAATTCCTTAACTCAGACTAACATTGTGAAATACGACCCGTCAAAGTATTGCCATAACCTTAGAAAGCTGGAGCCAGACTTGACACGTGTAGTTCCTATATCTGAGCTTACTTGGCAGTTGGAAGGGAGAGATGACAGCATAACCAAGAAGCGGCAAGGAGAGTTCCCTGTAACTAAGAAGCCACCTAAAAAGCTGAGGCAACTGGGCAGTGAGGCTCTGAATGGAGCAGTAGTTCTCTCTTCTGGGTGCCAGTCACATTCAAAAAACACAAGCGCATCACAGCTTGATCAAAGATCGAAATTCAAATCCAGGGAGAAGTCTAAATTTCCTCCATCAAGCAGTCTTAATAGTGAAATATCAAGGAGAAGTCTGTTACCAGATAAAAGCGATGTTCCTGGAGTTACAGCTCAAAATAATGGGAGTGCTTCGGATAGTGACATTGATTCTGAAGAGGAAATCAGAGCAATGGTAAAGAAGGAGAGAGAAATACAGAAAACTGAAAATGTTGAGACTGAAAGTGACCACTTGGAAATTGTTGGGGATAATTTTGAATTAAAATACAATAGTCACTGGTCCTTAAGCAATCCAGATGCCGCGAAGAACGCTGTCAAAGGAAGTTATAGGGAGAAAGAAACTATGGAATGCGATAATGGCTATGACTCAGCAGATACAGATGAAATTATTGCTGAAAGTAAAACTCCAGATCGAAGTAGCAGGAGAACTGCCATTTTAGAAGGTTCTGAATGGGTGAAGGTGGAAAATAAAGAAATATTAACTAACAAAAAATGTGATTTGGTAAGCGACTCCTCACTGAAGCCTTGCAATTTCAAAGAAGAATACATTGAAAGAAAAGGGAAAATTAAAAAATCCAAAATTGCTGCCTTACAGAGTACAGCAGTTAACAGAAGAACAAGTGATAGTGAAAGCTCTTATTCAGAGCCTGAGGAAGGGGAGTCTGAAATCAGTTCTGATGATGAGTCCATGATGCAAAACTCTTATCGCTTAGACCTCACACTAGATGACTTAAAAGCCTTAGCTGCTGAAAACACTGGGACACCAGGAGAAGAATCGGACAGTACACAGAATTCTAGTCAGCGTAGTGTTGAAGAAAATTCTAAGAGTAATGTAAATAAAATAAAACTTTCTAAATCTTGCCCTGCAGTTAAAAAAAAATGTATCTGTCCTGAAGATGTAGTTGCTGCAATTTTAGCAGGGGAGGAGAATGCTGATAAAGAATGCTCCAAGGGACAAAATAGTTCATGTTTGAAATATCAGCCCTTCAGAGGAATGGGGTCCCTTTGTGAAAAAGAGTTAACGAAAGACAGCAGTGGCTTAAGGAAAAGGTCTGTAGAAAGTTTAGGTCTTGAAGCTTGTATTTCTTATTGTGAGGAGGAGTCGTCTAAAAGGCCATCTAGGAACCATCCATTGTATTCACTTGGAGTCAGCAATAAAACGAGACAAAATAAGCATCGCGAAGAGCATAGGGAGTTGTCAGATGCTGCCTCCTTAGCAGATGAG